TGTCAATTATTCGCTTATCAGTCCTGACTGTTTTTATATGAGCGTATATGTGTGTGCCCTTCTTATCGCATTAATCACATGTCTGTAGTTTATTTTGTCTGCCTATAAATATTGAGTAATGCTTAGCTTGAAATGGAGTTGGCTTCCCAGCCATCTTCCCTGCGCGTCGTTTTGCTCTGTTCTATTGCATTCACTTTACATACAAAATATATGTATTCAAAGGCCATTCTCGTTAATTGACTTATCTAAATTCCGTTATTGATTAACGTGATTTAAGTCGACGATGATATACGAGAATAGGCGATTACAAACATATCATACACTCTGAATGGAGTCAGATTACGGGCCGCCTCAAAGTACATAAATCATAATAAATGAATAATGATAGTTCAATATGCTATAGCTATTTGACAAAAACTCTTTTCTTTCCATTTATGTAATAAATATACTTCATTCTTTGTAATTATGGCCCAAAAATCATTTTAATTCTATACAAAAGACTTGAATTTTAAGAATTATAATCACATGTTATGAATATGGTATGAATAACGAAAACAAAATGTCTCACAAGACAGATAGAAACAAGCCAATTATCATTCACGTGCAAATGAAACATACAATTTAATGTAATTGATTTCATTTCATTTTGATACTCATAAAAATTTGGTAAACTTAGATTTTATATTTAAAGATGAATTAAATTACCTAAATTATTAATAAAATTTGAACAAGCTAAATATTATCAGCATAGATGATACATAATGAAGAGTCTATGAATCGTTATGAATCTCCTATATCTTTGTAGTGAACAAGAACACCAGTGGGGACAATCAAATGTATCTGACACAAAATTACAGGACTTGTTAATAAAATCTAACAATCATAATGTAAATACGTAATTTGCAAAATGTCCATCAATTGTCTCAAAATGACTCAGATTTCATTGTTCTTGCATTTTCATACAAATCGCATCCTGTTACCATTCTTTACTGTTCGATCCTCTTGTCTCTCTACTGTCAGACCTTCTGTTCACGACTAACATCATATACTACTAGCACACACCACACTTCTCCGAGAGTTCCTGTCGGTTCTTTACCAATCTGATGAAATAATTTAAAATTCTCACTAGAACCGATGATAATAGTTTGATATGTACAAGAAAAATATACTTTCCAGTCTTATTTTTTTCCATTTGAGTTATCCTTTGCATCTAAAAATGATGACTCCAGTTTATTTATTCATATTTCAGCTCTAAAGACAATTATAGTTTGAACGTATACAATTTCAAATTAAAACTTCATTCATTTACAAAAAGTAAACATAATACATTAAAGAATAGTATTATCGAAAATAAACAGAATTACACATTTTAAATAAACACACATTACAAACAGTATCATTGTAATTCATTAAATAAATAGTTCCATTATTGATATTTACAATCATAAGTGATAGATAAGAACTTATTATTGATTAATCATTTATATGACTAAATTATATAATAAATCAAAATCTCATAGTAAGTGTTTATAAACGAAATGAAACTGGTCATAAAATTGGTTATTTGTAAAATGTTTAGACACAGATAATCAGTATGTTGTCGAATATTTGAAATATAATGCGATATTTAGTGAAAATACAATTTACACTTTCTAGTATATTTACATTGTAACCAGAAATATATTGGATTCAGTTATGAATCATTCAATCTGTTCTATTCTATAACTTAAATCATCTTTTTCGAAATATTTTTGATGGAATTTTAAACTCTTTTGTGATTTTGAACATTGAAACAGAGTAACTTTTCAACTCACTTAGTCAACATTGTTTTAATCGTTGATAAATTCCCATCATATTAAAAGTATAGTACTGTGAATGAAGAATATTCTTTATAATCATTTGTCAGCTGGTTCTACAGTTATAAATCTGAATTAATGTTTCAAAATAGACAGTTAAATTTTAAGTCAATTACATTATTTGATTAAAATTAACTAATTAATTAAATCTAAGATTGTTGGAGGAATAAGGTAATTTGCCAATGTTTGTTGAACGTTCTAGTGCGAAATGTTTACATCAATCAGTTGACAGGTCAACTGAACTTATGACATGATTGATAAATATGTATATAGATATACTGATTAGTGTTGAAATGACGAATGTGTAACATTAATTTGAATTAGTTCATAGGTCTATAGAAATTATGAGACTAATAATTAGAATAAATGCAGATAATGTAGGGTGAAAAAAGTAATCATGTGAACACAAACGTCTATCTAAAGAAACTGCACAATACCATGGTGAGTTTTGAGTTAAGTACTTTCTATGAGGACTACACAAAAAGAATAAATCAGTCAGTCAGTCAGCTACAACGTAGGACCAGGCACATATATGCATCGGTCCAAGTTGCCGTACTTCATCAACACAACAAGATGGACGCCGGATTCATAAATGTAGTTAATTTAGAGGTAGTAATAAGAATATAGTACAGGAAGAATGAATTAGTTCGTAGAAAGAAAGATATGACGCGATTTTAATCTCTTAGTTTAACGTAAGACAGAGAGTGCATACATCGAAGCCATTGTGAACGATTCTGAGCCATGTCACCAAAAGTCTCCAACCATTGGTTATGAAAGTCACGCGGAACCCAACCAAGTAGTAAGCATCTACCAACATGGCTCAGACTACAAGTTAGTGACTTCAAGCACTGATGCCACGCTTTGGTTTGACAGCCCCTAACTCTCTTCCAACCATCTCCAACACCAGTTAGCATTGCACGTCGTGGTAATCGGTGTTCGGACATACGTAACACGTGGCCCAACCATCTCAGTCGATGAAGATTCACAACCTCATCAACTGATTGACCATAATTTCCTAATACACTGCGTCTAACCTCACTGTTACTTACTCGGTGATCCCAGACGCCAGCAATATTTCTAAGGCATCTGTAGTCAAATACTAGTAGCTTCCGAGTGTCTTCTACTCTTAAAGGTCATGTTTCGCTGCCGTAAAGTAAAACAGAACGGACTGCCGCGCAGTATACTCGTCCTTTTATTGATAGACGGATATCTCGCCTTCGCCAAAAGTGACGTAAGCTGGCAAAAGCCAAACGAGCTTTTCGAATCCGTGCTGAGATTTCGTCCGATACCAACCCATTAGAGCTGATCAGACTACCAAGATTAAATAGTATGGTAAGGTCATACTTGACAAAAAGTATGTTTAGAAAATCGTGTAGCAGTGACTAGACTATCGGGTTACTAAAGATGAACCTAAATGTGAAGTTTTAGGTAAGGAGTGTAAATCATTTATTCTGGTTTTAACCATTCACAAACTTGGATACTTGTGACCAGTTGTTAGTAATGCTGTCCTACGACCTACATAAGCATGTTGTTTTTATTATAGTTAAACGTCAGACAGAAATTAATTTGCTAAAGTCTCGCATTTTGTAAGTATAGAGTTACTAGTTAGGGCCCTTTATATGTAAGTTAAACACGCTAACTAATATATCGCAAGACCAACTAATATCGTATAGCCACTTAAATTTTATTAACCAATTAGTGCTTAACTATTCAATATTCCTTTGTCCGACAAGATTTCATATATTTTTTTCAATTTCTTGTTGATTTTCTCTCAAAGTGAAGCATAATGACTAAAAACGACACATCTCTCGTTGCTTCGAATTTTGATGTATTTTACGACTTACAGACTAAATAATGGGCTATTATTTTTTTCATATAATGAAGCCAGGAGCCATCTCATCTGACCCTGAATATGTCACGACAGTTGAAAATGTAAGCATCTCCAGTGAGTGAATAAGAACACAGAATATTAAAAAAACAATTACCTTAAACTAAATCTTCAGACGTAACTCTAATATAATAAATATACTTTTATTATATCCCCATGAATAGAAACATTGTATTTCTGACATTTCGCGACTTAATGTAAGCCACTTCTTCAGAGTAAATAAATAACTGGGTTAAACTAACATAAGCCTAAATAGTACTATTTAATTTTAGTGATTTATTTTCCCCGAAGAGTTGACTTACATTAAGTCACGAAGCGTCAGAAATACAATTTTTCTACTAATCGCGCTATAGCAAGAATATATTAACTATTAACTCCCTACACAACAGTCAGTTTATTTGAAACTATCAAGTTCATCCTTGATATTGATACCCAGTAACTGTAATATACTGCAATATTTATATGCATATACGTAAAACATCACATTAATCAAGGCAGTTTGATAAGTGTGTTCCGCAATTGGTAAGGACTTGGCAATACAGTAACACTTATACATACACAGCTTTAGCTGTATGTTCTAATTAACCTCGAGGAAGACGTTTGAGGTAGAGTTAAAAACAATAGCATTCGCTTAAATAAACTATGAAGCATTTTACGGTTTTAGAAGTCATACTCCAAGAGAGATTCTAGATTTGATAACAACTTCACGCCCGAGTTCATCTAGTTTAAGTTTCAAAATGTTCGAGGTAGTCAACTTATATTTTGACGCAACCAAGAGCTACTAAAATCTCCGTTGATTTGGTAGTCTGAACTTTATCTTCATAGAAGTAATCGCGCAAACAAAGTAAATTATCCTAATATGCAATTAGTAATATGGTTATTTAGCACACAAAAGGAAAAATAATATGTAAGTAATAATACTGAGTCACTGATCCAACTATAATTATACAGCACAACTTTAGTAAAAAAAACTATTCTTAACAGTTCCTTGAGTTAACTTTAGCAAAGTTCTCTCGCCTCAGTGAATTTTCTTATCAACCAACAAGGAAGCTGACCGCTGAATAACACCTGGTCAAGCATATGTTCTAATATTAGTCCTAATCCCATTTGAATGCCTTCAAATTTATCAGACATCAGTTGTTAAGTGATGCCTTTCTGATATAACTAAATAAATTAAAGTCACTTATGTTAGCTTATTTACAGTATTCAGATGAAATGATTCTACTCAAAAGTAAAAAAAAACAAATAATCAATTAATTACGTATTAATCAGTGGTATTAAAACGATATATATATATTTAGATAGAACTATATTTATTTTAACACCTTTTCATATATATTTTCCATATTATATTAAATAGGTTTAAACCTAAAACACAATGTATATTAGCATGAATGTAATTTACACATAATGTATTTCAGAATGTTCACTTCAATGGAAAGAAAAATAACTGAACACACACACAACAACAAAATAATGATACTTTACGGCACAATAATCCCTGGATGATGAAAACATAATAAGCATAAGAATAAATAGAACTATAATGAGACAAAAAAAATAAGCAATCTGAAATATTAGGACAGAAAAAAAATAATGATGTCGAGCCAAAAGTAAAAAAATAGAGAAAAACTTTTATAAAATAAGCTAATAAAAATAAGTTTATGAAAAGAAAAAAAGAAAATAGCACACAACAGAAACAAATTGTAAAATGATGTAATCATTTGACAGATTGTAAGTAATATGATAGTTGTCATAAAAACAGGTCAGCTGATAGATCGTATACAGCTCACAGATATTGAAACTAGATTATATATTCCAATATTTACTGATATAATCTACACCATCAAATTCAAATGATTAAATCCTCTAATGAATTTAAACTTCCAGACAATGTGGATTGAACAAATGATCTAATATTAGGGAATAAGATTAAAGAAAACAAGTTTTAAGGATTATTTAATAAAAGAGGGAAATATTCTAATGGGAAAATATTTGTTTTCAAATACATAAGTAGTTGTCATTTGAAAGATAACTGGAATCATTATTATATTATATTGTAATAAGCCTTATGTCAAACAAAAAAGCATTTCAAAAATCTACGATTATTTTTAACTAAGTTGATTCAACTTCACAAACTTAGTAGTGAATGTTTCGGCTGTCTAGACCATTGTATCCACCCCTTAAAATTACTTACTTAGTAATTCACCGATACACTAGTAGTGTTGTAAAGTCATTTATGTTCAAAAGTTCACACATAACCTACGCTTAACAATGAATTACAGAACATTTATAAAGTGTATCCTTTATAACAGTTGATGTATTTAGTTCAGTAAGACTTAATAAGAACAAACAAAGTAATCCCTAAGAGTTGGGAGAGAGTAATTATGACATATCACATTCCGAGGAATAGAATATTTTAATTGGGGACTTCAGCTAATGTTTTCCAAAAGCAAACAGTCGCTAGTACACTTTCTAAGTAGATGATTTAAATAAAAAACCTTTCCAGTTGCGACTCGGAAAACGTTTGAAATGTAATCTTGAGTTCATTTAAACTTTCCCATTGTGAGTTTTGATGATTAACTGAGTGACTTGCGAAATTTTCGAAACAAACCTGACAGATCTCAGTGTAACCTGGTGAGAACATTATTCAGTTAGAAAGTAGTTGTTAGATAGTGGAAAGTTGTATACCACGATTTAACCAAGCCGTTAGTTATTTTGAAAGGTTACTTGAAATTTTTCAAAGTCTACATGTAATTATCGGCTGCAATTCAAAAAAATGTGTACAGTTTACCTTTTAGGAAAAATACTTTCGCTTTTTCAATCGTGCGATTGATATATAAGGCATGAAAACTACGGAGAATTAAATCTCCGTCAATGAACTAACTAGATTATTGTTAAACAATATATACGATTTCCTATTTGGAAATGCGTGAGTATTATACTAAATGGACAATAAGTGCGTTTTTCGTTTGGAATTGAATATGAAAAGATGATATTAAAGTTATTAAATCAAGCGGCTGAAAAAGTAGTTTCCCGAATTCCAACTACTTAAACCCTTCACTGTAACTATTGATCATTCATCTGAAACATGTTTTCGGTATATAAACTAGATATCTCACTAGTTTATTCAATAAATAAAACCAACCGTAAATAACTTTATTTGACAAACCTAAGAAAAATATATCATTTTAAATCCTAAATTTTACTTCTGCTTACAGAGTGCAGCAATATATTTACGTTGGAATTAACATTTTTTTGGGAGTCAACAAGGATTCGATTGTTGGTGTTTTCAGTCTCATTTGTTTCAGAAATTCATTTACCTGTCAAATATTCCTTGCTAAATTCATTACTGTCATTATTCCTTGACTTAAATATTGTGTATAAATTATTAGCTTATTGCGTTGCTTATTCTGATATTAACAATGAACACATAGGCAACTTGATTTTGATAATTAAACACTTCAGTTATCAGCCAAAGAAATTAATTATGTTAAGATACGTGTTAAATAAACTGATCAAACCGTGTTATTTCATATATTAAGCATGCTGTACTAAATATCTTAATTCAAGTTGTTCCAAGTGAAATATATTAATTCCTCATACATTAAAAAACGCCAGTAATACGGTGAATGCTACTTATGTCTATCAACATAAGTAGTGTGTGACACCAATCAGAAGTGGAATGACTGACAGCAGAAGGTTGCGAAGATAGGATTGAAAAGAACGGGTTGTAAACAGAGAGTAATTGTAATAGCGATGAAGTATGAGACAATTCATGGAAGATTTGCAAATGAGGCATTTAATGTATGGTTTTTCACATTTTACGAAAGAACTCTGTAATTTTGCATTAAATGATAAATTGATTGTTCCCACCTGAGTTTTCGTCCACTAAAGTACTTACGTAATAATATCCGGAAGATCTGGTGCTGTGTGAATAAAATTATGTCGGTAACCGAGTTTGCCTTCGTACGGCTTGAAGAATACTGAAGTACCATTAGTTGAAAGAATTTCAGCAAGCTATAGTTATTTGTTATTATTCATAAAAGTAATAGTTCAACACAGAAAGATTCAGGTCAATATCAATAAAGAACTGTTATGATAAAGAGAATTAAAAATACTTTCAAAATATTTAGCCTTGGAAATTCAGGTGAATATGGCAACAGAAACGTTGTTTTCCCTTAGTGACTAGCTTTTATTACACAGATTCTTGAAACAATGTTTACCTGATTTCACCAGTGGTAGTTATTTTAAATTTCCTCAAATGTTTTAGTAAAATCGAGGGTGTAAAGAGGTCTCTTCCACTCATTAAATGTTGTCAAGTGACGGAGTGTTTATTGCCTGTTGACGATAAACACTACATCTGGCTTCACACAAGATAGATATTCATGCAAATATAAAAGGACAAAAATGGATTTCTAGTGTTTACATTGGATTCGTGTACATGAGAGGTTTAATGTGAACTTTATCTCGATTGTAGTATTTATTGAAGTGTATGATTTATTGATTACTGTATTTATTTACTTATTGATCAAACGATTTCTTTCCACTTTTTTCTATTTACAATATTTAATTTCCATATTGTCTAGCATATTCTTTTCGTACAGTATAGTGTGAAATATTTATATTATGAATGCATAATATCAACACTGCCAACCATATTATTTTTTACTGAATCATAATTAAAGCATTACTATCAGATCTTAGGTGGAATTTAAGTTGTTTTTTTACAGATACTACTTTTGAGGGATTTCTTCAATTCGTGAATTATAATGACAGATAAAAGCGTAGACATAACAAACTAAATTCATGCTCTACAATGGTAAAATAACTAATGAAAACTTTTTATGATGATAAAAGAACCAATAACTTTGAGTCATAAGACTTCGGTCATATTTATTCAACTCTTCCTTAATTTATATCTTTTATCAAATCTCAAAATCAGAACTAACAAATTTCGTTAATGAATGATTTAGACAAAAATATACATACATTGAGTGATTAACAACACTCGACTAACCACAATCAAAACCCAATGTAGTTATCATTTTTCTTTTCCGAAAATCAACAAATAAATATGAATTCGTTAAGTATTTATCAAATGCAATTGTTATAATGATTACCTTTTTTCCTAAAGTGAATGGTACAACAGCATCATCTTCAGCGTGTAATATGATTATCGGAATGGGACAATTTATTAGGCTAGAAAATATAAAATATAAAACCTTCAATTATATATGTTATAATAAATATATGTCAGAAATCAAAGGTAGGACGTTTTATTTAATATGTAATATGAAATTTTGCTTAGTTTTGCTTGCAGATAGGTATGATGGTCATTCAATAACCACATGCACTTCCATCTGTGACCATTTTCTTTACAACAATATCCTTAAACCATAATGATACTTTTGACTCTTCAATTCTTGATTGATCACATCGAAACCAATTTACTCTTTTACTTCAGTGTCTGAAGAGATTTCGTCATAGACTAATGGAGAACTAGGAAATTCTTCAACGTTGTCCACCCAAGACCCGAACAGGTATCGGACACACAACCGTGATAGCTAGCAACGAAAACTGAGCATTTATACTACTGAGTTAAAATCTATCTATTCACTAGAATCGATTCGTGATATAACCCAACAACTATTCAGTTTCATTAGTGAATAATTGCTTTAGTTTGGACATTCTCGCTACAATTTACAGAATTCGTCACAAGGTCGTTTACTAATTAGTGTATAATTAGTGTTTGGTTAAAGGATTTATTGAAATATAATTGGAGATAAAGTTAGTTTTCGTCACAAATTGAAATTAACTGGATTGTGGATGTAAACTCTTGATGAATGAATAATGGTTCAACAGAAACTAGCATTTGTTTTATTTTATTATATTTAATTACCCATCATCATTAAAGTTTTTCAGTGACATAAAACTTGATTCATATTATCTATTACGATTGCATACATGTAAAGTTTTAATGAACAGTATGAGTACAGTGATGATAGATGATGATTATTGTATTTTTTTTATAAAATCGAGGTAAATAGAAATATAATGCAGTCTATAAGCGTAAAATATAGTCAATCATATGCTGATTTAATATTACTTTCTATTTGTCCTAAACAATAAAATCAATAATAAACAAACCAATAAATATGATGTTTTAGTTACAGAATTCAACATAAAACAAGTGAAGAGGGTAGTAGAAATTTCAAAATACAAACACAATTTGTTATAAACAGAAGCTTGGATTATATATGTAAATGACCTTATTTCGATTCAATATTCATATTATATAATCATTAAATGGTCTCACAAAAATCAATGACAATGGTTAGGTGATTTTCTACAAGCCGTGATTTAATAGTTTTAATTATATAATGAAAGAGAATTCACGTACAAATTGTTTTAGTAAGTGATTTATGTTAGGTATGCAGAGGAATATGCCAATAATTATCGTGCCAAGTCGAATGGTGTCCTTGGACGTTAAATGTACATTTCCTATTGGTCGATATTTGCTTCAGTTATTTAATATTGTGTAAATGTTGTTTCCTATTTTTATGGTACGATGTGGTATGCTTGGTTAGTATATAAACAGAGTGTGTTTGAAATATAGTGATTCATATCTCAGAGGCTGTGACTTTCGTTCTGGACTCAACTGGCTGGGGTAGACAGGGAAGCAGGGCCAATCAGGGCACTAGGTCGTTCGTACGTATTTACGTGTCACTGTAACCGATCGATCGATATAACGCTGCTTTATCATATCCTGCAGTCTCACACACGTTACAACAATTGGCGACGGGGTAGAGAAAATTTGGAACCCTCTAATTGGACGAGATTCATCTTAATTATTTTGACCAATCAGCGTCCGAATTTATTATCGGTGATCTTGAAAGTCATTGGTTATTAATTGGTCACAGTATTTCTTATTACCCTGCTGTCTCAGAAAATGACTATGCTTCCCGATCAATTAAAGCTACTACTTGACCGCCAGCAGCAGCGTTTCAGACAGTGCCAGTTGAATGTTTTGGACAATTTACGAACGCGACTGCTGAATCTCCCGTGTTTTGGAGATGTGAAAGAAATTGATGAATTAATTTCTCAGCTGCATACTGAACTCGAAAATGACTGCAGGAGGTATGAATATGAAAACAAAAGCCTCTATGAATCCCTAACGAGCAGTAATGCAAACGAGGCAGTCGCTCATGATCCGTCCAGCGATTCAGAAATGTCCAGTTCAGAAGTATGCCCTGTCGTGGGTTCAAATCCCACTGTGCCCGAAACATGTGAGGTATACAGCTCACAAGAAGAACTCCTCATGCCAGAAAATGTGTATCATGCATCAAATAATGGTCAGGAATCTAATACAAATTTCAAGGAAGCTGTTTATTCTAGTGACCTATTATCTACTGATGGAATCTTGAAGAGTTCTGGTGAATATGTTTCACAAGAATCAAACCTTAATGACCTCATATCTGGTGTCGCTAATCCTCATCATCTAGTCAGTTTTAGTGATCTCTCTACTCAATGCGCGAAATATGCTTTAAATAGAATCAAACTAACTGTCACTTGGGTACATGAGGACCCAACATTATTCCGCGGGGGAGGACGGGCGCAGAAAATTTTAAAATCCGGATATCAACTCCGGATCCTCAAAAAAGAGGGGGAGGTGTTAGGTATGCAGAGGAATATGCCAATAATTATCGTGCCAAGTCGAATGGTGTCCTTGGACGTTAAATGTACATTTCCTATTGGTCGATATTTGCTTCAGTTATTTAATATTGTGTAAATGTTGTTTCCTATTTTTATGGTACGATGTGGTATGCTTGGTTAGTATATAAACAGAGTGTGTTTGAAATATAGTGATTCATATCTCAGAGGCTGTGACTTTCGTTCTGGACTCAACTGGCTGGGGTAGACAGGGAAGCAGGGCCAATCAGGGCACTAGGTCGTTCGTACGTATTTACGTGTCACTGTAACCGATCGATCGATATAACGCTGCTTTATCAAAAACCTGCAGTCTCACACACGTTACAACAATTTACTAAAAACATTCCTTGAAATAATAAGTACTTACAGTGAAAAATTTTATTATTCACTAATAAATTACAATTTTACTAAATCTGTAATTGAATGTGATTCAACAACGCAGCACAGATTAGAGTATTCATTTTCGAGTTTAAATGTTTATAGTATAAGGTTTAATGATAATGTACGATTGTTCAAACTGAAATTTGGATCTGCAATTGAATATACTGTAAGTGGAGTGATGTAATTAATAAGCATTTTAGTAATTTTGTATTAGTGAGTAAATGATATTTACTTAGTCGAACCGAATCTAACGAAAAATATAAATCCTTATTTTGTAACAAAAAAAGAACGCTAAATAAACAAAATCCCTTACAATTTTTGCAGAACTTTGAAAGTATTTTCCCAAAAAAAATCAGTAATTACTTTGTATGCATATACCAAACATCAGTAAACAATATGATGGAATATGAAACCATATATGTAAGAATATATTATGTCGTATTGATTGTCATTGAGAAAACTGAACCTATTATTACATATAAGCCTCAACAACTCATAAATAATTACATTACAACCCACTAGATTTATCACTCCATATGCTTGTGTTAAAACATATACGTTGGGAGCAGCAACTGGACGATATAATCAGGGGTGATGGAACTTGTACCTATATGACTTCACAACCAGTTATCACGAGATGCTCCGACAAATACGCGGAGAAAATAGTACTAGTTGATAACAAATAACATTATTGAAGCAAATTATGGGATTTTACCTCAACACATCTTTCAAGAATTTATACGAAAATTGTCAAGGATGGAAACCTTGATCTTTAAGAAACTCAAGTCTCATTAATATGTACAGAAACAATTTATTCTAACTATAAATCCTTTTAGGATAGTGTAACAACTCCTTATTCTTTTCATGATATATTATTTTTTCACTACTTCTTCCTAAATTATCACTCTATATTTGACCTTTTATTTGCGTGACTCTCATTAGCCATTACATATAAATACCTTGAAAGGTATGTATGCCACTGAGATATTTGTATAGCTCGAAAATATTACATTTTCCATATTAACTGTCTTTTTTTAGTACTATTGAAAGAAAACTTTGGACTATATTTCAAACTTTTATTTCCTTGTTTAATCCAGAAAAGTCTGTTCATTTTGACTAAAATTATTTAACGTTTGAACTAACAAACAAACATGGCATTATGAACGTAATTGACTAAAACATTCGTTTTTTGCCTTGAATTATGTAACAAGTTCAAGCTTCGCTTCACCTACTTACTTTTATTTTAATCAGATTAGTGTTACTACTTGCCGGTTCGAACTCAATCACGTTTTTATTTGATCTTAGTTTTTTTGTGATTCAAGCGTTTCTTGATTAACTAAATAAAAGAGTATAGGTTGAAATAATACATTACAGACGTATTTGTGTGTGTGTGTGTAAATTGAGATAAACTTAGCAATTGTTAAACCAACCTAACGTAAATTAAACTTTTTCTATTTTTTAAAAAAAGATAAATTGTCATTATTAAACTTTAGTTAATTGATATCACGCTACTAAGCTAAAATACAATCTATGGGACATTTAAACAGTATCAAAATATGCATTATATTCTACTAAGACAAAAATTATATAACCTCAAAGTTTACCGATTTGAACAAACTCAACTGTTTTTTTTTCTTTTTAACTTTAGTAACATGATATGAAAACAAATTTAATTTATAATAAGAATTCTAATCGATCAATCTACTTGGAAGTCAATAATATAAACCAATAGTAATAATAAAAAGGAAAGAATATTTTAACAAACTATATATATATCACATTGATCAATCCACAAACATTGATATATACAGTGGCAAGAAATAACCAGTAATAATTGTATAGGAAAGCTCTTTGAAAGAAAAACAATTTGAGATTCTATACAGCATATACATATTTATCTGTTTATTTAATTTATCAGTAGTAGGAATAATAAATAAAGTGACTTGTTGTTGTTAGAATATAGATCCATTCTATTATTTCTATATATAAATCCCTCAAAACACTGAATTCACTTGTACTCTAACGGAAGATTAGAGAAACAATGAAATGTAATCATTGTATAATCAATAAAAACGATCAATTATTTGTGTAATCTATTCCAAACACATAGTCAGATAATATAGATAGTTTTAACATGATATTTATTTATGAGTTTATAGAATTAAGTATAATGCAAGAAAACAGAAAAAAACTGATTATGCTAAGCTTGAAATACTATGTCACTTAATTCCCTTCCACGATGATGTAGGTTTCGTCAGCATATAATCTCAAGCCTTAAAATGATTACTATTCTATAATTATTGATTTAAATAAGTTACATTTTGTGAGTCAAACATTCAATATATATGAAAAGACGATATTGTTAATAAAACCAACATTGAAAGATGTGATTTCAAGTAGCAATGTATCAGTCATTTTAAAGTTGGATACACAATTTTCTTTAGATGAATTACAATAAATTGACAATAAATTGTGTAAAACTATGATACTATAAACTTAATAAATGTATGTAGTTAATAAACTGCTCACTAGGTATTATATGTCTATTGTCATTAATAAGTTATATATATAGCTTGTTGAAACTTCCAAAATGAAAATAGGTCTTATTTAGATTTAAGTAGTGCACCAGTAAGCTATTTCCAAGTAACCCAGTTCGTTCTTTCCCATAGTAGGATTTTGATGATGGTATCCGGTCAACGAACATTCAGTGTCTTAAATAGACAATTATTTATAAATACTTGTACCTTTTTGATGATGGTTGTGGTAATCTCCAAGTTTCAGCTCGATACAGTTGAACTGCCTTAACATTCGTGTTGAAGATTCTCACTTTGATATCGGTTCACAGTTGTTTTGAGTTCAAAATGTTGAAGTTAGTGCTTCTTTGATCCCTTTCCAGTTGTCCTCCATAGTAGTTTCCTCTTCCTTCAGTAGATCCTGTAAGGTTCAGAATCTGTTGTTGAGAGCGATCTTGAATTCGTTAAGTTTGTTAATATCTCGAAGGAAGGCTGTGTTGAACCTTTGTACTGCTGTTTCCTAAGTTGTCCAGTGCTTCTTTAGCTTCATTTCGATCTTGAAGTTGCACCGATGTATATTATTTTATGCTGAATGAATAGAGAAGCTCACTCAGAAAATTCAATATACTTGATTCAGCAATCATAGAACAGTAATCATTTTAAGGCTTCACAAAACGTGCATCATGAAATTAAATTAAGCAACAAAGTGCTTCAAGCTCAGCGTTATCAGCATAACAATCCATTAGTTCCAATTGTTTCAGTTATCTCATCGACTTTTATACTTCATAACATATATCTTTAAATAGTTGATATGTGCTTCAACTGTTCAAAGTGTATCGCTCTAATACATCGTATGGTTATGATAAATTTACTATGACAAAATACCTTACCTTGAATCAAGTTATCAATATTCGAATAAAAAAAAGAAAATGATATCAAAATAAAATGTTTAATTGTTTCATTTTTGGTTATTTTAAACAACTTACTTTGACTGTGTATTAAATGATAATTTTACTTTGTTCATAGCTGATACAAATCGTTCTTGTAAAGTTGGCATTAACTGATAAGGCTTTAATAAAATAAATTATAATTGTAAAGAAGAAATGGTTAGTAATTAGTGGATGTAATTTTGTAATTATGAATCTTGGCTTAGTTTGATAATATTACATTATCGTAATCTATTTATATCATAGCTCTGTAATTATATATCTAATTTAAATCATTCCAATAAAAACGTACCACGTAATAAAATGAAAATATAAGTCAAACAGTATGTGTTGATACGACAAATATGATCTACAGATGACAATAAAAACTGAACAAACAACTAATTATTAATTTTTCCAATGAAAATAAAACTAGGAACTACTACTAGTAAAAATGAATTTTAACATAATGTCTACTAGAATGGTTTAACGTTGCAATGAATTCGATGTTGATAGTTTTCTTTATTCTTCATCAAAAGTATTTCATATGGACATCGGTTGTTGTAAGAAATATTCAGTGAGTAAATTCTAATAATTATTAAAATATATACCTAACAACTACTATTGATAACAATGTGATAAGAAAAAAAAGATAAAATTATTATCAAGCATGTCTCAGTCTTTTTTTTTCTTTAAATCAACTGAATTATACAAATTTCGTCTCATGTGTTTATTGTATATTCAAAGATAAATGTGTAAGTATATGAAAAGGCCATAGTATTTATTGCCACCAAATGCCCTGGTATGGCTGAGAGTGGGGTGGGCCCGCCCTCCCTCTCGAAATGCTCCCACACGGCCACGCGTATACAGCCTCTGCCAGGGAAGTCCTACACACTGCCTTCTCGTGGCGTGGGTGTTGTTTACGAAAATGAGAGGAAGAAAAGCGAGTGTCCGGCGCTTTAACCGGATTCCAAATCAATGGTGCACATGGACTCCAGTATCCTGAGGGAACAAACGGCGTATGAGCCAATTGTTGGTCACCGGCTCCCATGGGACTGCATCTCCTTACGATGCTCCACTGCCTTGTGGGTTAGACCATTAGGTCAAAGGCTCGGGGTGTGGCACCCTAAGAAAACCACCTGCTTCAGTTTGGGCACCCGGGCAGTATCACAGCCCACACACACAAATACGGTGTGGCGCATATATATTTGGTGCTCCCTTGTACCAATATTTATGTGTTGAAATAAATAAATAATAAATAATAGTATCTATTTAGTTATACAGAGATAATATGCACACTACTTAGTTATTAATCTAAAGGTAACTTAAATTGAAATGTATATTTACCTTCATGAATATTCTGTGACGTATCACATCAGTTAAGGATGTAAATGGGGCATCAAGAATAATACCTTTTGGAAGACGAATATTTGGTGAAGAATCATGCTCTTTATTTAAATGACCCATAAGACAACCGACAACCCTATCAACAAAAAACATGCACAAAACAAATCTATTATCTAATTATGCAATTATCAAAGACTGTAAACGTAATGTTAGATTTATTTGCCCTTTACATAGTTGAAACTATTGTGTTTAGACTCAAATTGAAATGGAACTTCATCGAATCGATAAGAATTGTAATTTGAGATAAAGTAGTAAAGTAAATATATGTAATGCACTGCACACGATAAAAATCACTTATTTTATTACATATATAGGTTTAAAAGTTAAATTTTACCAGTTTGTTAAGGTGTTTAACCATCCTCTATACTTAATATTACTATCTATATCAAGCTTATCATGTTTGTAAACTAGCATGAATTCTGTAACTATTATTTTCACTACAACATTAACTAAACCAACTAAATGTTATATGCATACCATCATTAGTTCATTTTAATTACCAGAGGTTTTGTGAGGTATACGGCTAAATCGAGGCACGTTTGTTTCGTAGAGAATCGCCTTCAACTGTCTGACCTCAAGGTTTAATTGACAAGACGAACACGAAACATCAAGGGATGGTATCCATGGTTCAAAATGGGTTTATGTACTACTCGTTCTAAAATCCTGGGACTCATTCGAATTATTGGTTTCAAATACAGATTTTCCAACTTTCTTATATATATTTATCTCCTTTTCATCATAAGCTTCCGTTTGACCCATTAACTGCTATTATACGATTTATTATTCTTGATTTATTCCCAACCGATTATTCACAGTTCCCCCTATCGCAAGCACTTTTAGCTTGATCGTGAATAATTGTTATTTTTCATTTTACTATGTGATAAGGTCTGATCTGCTTGTACATAAACTACGTATGTTTGACACTACTATTCATACAGTGGACAGTGGTTACTGTGCCGTGAACTCAATGGACAGAAAAGGAGGGAAGCTACTGTGTCGAAGACCAATCAGGATTTAGAGTTGACTCAAGGTTACAACTAGCGCTGGTTGGCTAAGCTGGTTGGTTAGCTAAAGGACAAAGTCGTAGAAATCGATATTGATATCGGTCTTATGACGTGATGTTAGATAGGCCCGTAAGTCATAACCAAAACTGCATATCCACCGAACTATCTAAAGCATCAAATATTATTTTTACCCTTGGGGTACAATAAAAGCCACTACAATATAAGGGCAGTAGCAAAAAGATTCTTGGAAAACGTTACAAAGCCGGAGCAGCACAAAGGCATTTCGAGAGAAATCGTGGACTCTATCCATTGTCAACTGCGCCAGACCATTTGTGAGAGGATATACACAATCGATTAAAATCTTTTACTACTAACACTGATAGTAAACATGAAAAATTCTTCTTACCCAGTACCAAGTGAATGACCCCAAAAGAAAATCGGCGCTGAAGGAAACCGTTTACAAACAAATTGAAAAACTGTTAAGCTATCCAGTAGACAGTCATTTTCTCCACTTAATGACCCAGTTGAATCGCCATAACCTTAAATCAACACAAACCAATATTTGAAATTATTCAAAATGTACTGTAATCATAACATATATATATTGTATGCCAGTTACAAATATTTGAAGGTAATAGAAAACGCTACATAATTAATCTTAATTGTGAATAAGTTCCCTTCGCTTAAATATTATGATGAATATGTGGTTCAGAAAAACACGTTACAAGAGAAAATTCCACTCACTTTTATTAAGTTATTGGATCTACCTCAATTTACGTTTCCTTCAACATACTGATGAGTCACATGAACCTACTAAAAGCTATTCTGTGAATGAAGAACCATAATCGTACAAAAATAGCATATTTTAAATGTGTATATATCTCTTAATCATTTCCATTTGTAATTTTTAAAGTAATTCGGTGATTATGTTAATCTATCATTAAGATAAGTTACATTAATTCAATAATTTTAGCTCACAGTACACTGAGATGTAAAACTACCTAACCCCTCAAACAACGTTACATGACCAATACTACAATATCTTTAACACGTAATTTCGATGTACTATCTTTAGAACAACTGTTAGCCCACAAAATATATGGGACATTTACATCAACGTGAGGAGCAGTGATTCATTGGTTGACCTCTTAAGAATCTAACTACTTCGGTTTCTTAAGTGAAGTAGAATCAACAGACCTCAACTAAAGAGTACGACACGAAAACTGGGCTTGATTATTGAGCTTAATCAGATTAATATATTTAAACCCTAACGGCGTAGCATAACTATGCCTTAAACGACAGTAAATGATTTACAAGTTACATTAGAAATCTGATACAGAACATTACCATAAACAAAATACCAACTATAAGATATGCAACTCTCAACTTTTAAGCATAAACCATCTTGGATAGAAATTTCTCAATGGCTTTCAAGAAAACGATCAATCTCATATTGAACGATTCTCCATGTGTATTTCAATCAATAAATAATTTTATGCTCATCTAGACAGACACATTTGAACAAATGCTAGGAAAACCAGCCCCACTGGGATTACAACTTGTTGGAAGGATGAAATACATAACATTTAGGCTGTGTATCGTAAATTTATTATTCTTCGGTAGAAACTGCTGCTAGTATAATCGTGAGGCGACCTAATATAATAGGATACACATTATTATGAACACAATTCAAAAGAAGTGGGTCGTTTTAACAATGAAACAGTCTACAAAATCATTAATGGAACGAGTATTTGTGAATGTCAGTTAATTTTCAGAAAATTTCTTCGACAAAAATTTCAAAGCAGTTCAGCATTTAATCGAGCTAAATCAAACTTATATAATAATTTTTATAGATAAGTATTCTATCTTATAAGTTACAGAAAAACGTTATCAAATCTATGTTGAATTCATGACCTAAATGGTGATTATCCATCACTAACTACCATTCAATAAGTAGTGAGAAATAATTTTGAGAAAAATTGTATAATATGCAGATAACGTAACACTTTCAAAATTGAACTTCCTAAACAAATGTATTTATCAGTGATATTTACTGCAAGGAAACTGATTAAAATTTCCTTTTTTTAAAAAAACAAATTTATGGTTAACACCATGTTAATTGCACTATAACAGTAACTACAAAAACGGGATAGAAAATACAGTATAAATAAAGAGATTTAACTCAGTAATTTCTGAGATAATTTTACTTAGATATTCAAAACAATAGGTTAAAAACAAGAAAACATTGTGAATTACACAAAGAAAAGTGACCATGAGCATACATATTATGAAGAAACGAGAAATGTGAAACTTCAATAGCTATTCTTTGATGAATTAGTCTTCATATTTTCACTAACATTTTATTAAAAACAGTAGCTGTATGATATTTTTATATAGTTCCAATTATAAACCTTGATTTGATTTATCATTTTCTGTTGTAGCACCTGGATCAAATCAGATTTTCAATAGTAAAGTCAGAGAAAATTAACAAGAGTTAGTCTGACCGATGAAAAGAACCAATCAAAAAAAAACATTCCAGATGAAAAGAATGAAGTCACATAAAACAAAACAAGAATTAATGTTACGTTGACAAATTTGAGTTCTACGAAGAATGAATCCATTTAAATACTTGAAGTCAAGTGTGAATTATTTTGTCTAGAAAATCTAATCATAGATGAGATTTTCAAGAAATCTAACAATAAAGCCTATATTTTTCTATTTAGTTCGAATTAACAGTTAGTGGTTTCACAAACTGATGTCACAAACTTCAAAAGTTTACTAAGTGTAACATAATTAAATAACATGAACTGGACCACGATTCTTAAACAGATAAAGAATTTGATAAATCAGCCAATCTTTACTTATTACGTCTACATTGTGAACAGTGTTAGTTGCCAATAAGCCAAATTTACGGAGACTTCATATATACTGTTGAGGTTAAGGAATCTCTCCCAAATCCTACGACTGATTGAACCATACAACGTTTTTACTATATCAACTGAAGAAGTATTCAGCAAAAACAACTATTAGCTTTTTGCTGCATACACAAGTTCGATCATAGGATTCATTGATATTAGGAACCATAAAATTTAAATCCTGTAGCTAAATATGTATATCTATAGTCTGTATCTATAATGTCAGTAAAAATTCTCCATGAAAAGTAAAAAGACAAAAATTATGTAAGGCTTGGAAAAGATAACTTATTAATCCACATCACAGTTTTTAAAAAATAATACGGTGAGTGGAATCCAATATAATAAATGCTAAAGAGAAGGAAGAAACAATAAGCAAAGGTGATGAGTAAATGGATATTATTCACTGACAGATGAAAAGTCGGACGTGGAACTGATTCAAGATCGTATTATCTGAATTCACAAGATATAGGCTGTCTATCGAATTCTTATCAAGAAGCCTAAGATACTCCGCATAACTTAATGGAGTTGACAAAGATCTTCATGTATTGATGTTATACTGTGGTTTGAGAACCAATTTAATGCTGTTGAAGCTAGAATGAAATATTGGAATAGAGAGTAGTTAGACAAATAAATTAAGGAGAACTAAGTGATTACGGGTGGAGTACATGAGTTGAAGATGTACAGAATCATTTTTTGTTTTTAGAAAGACCCATAAACAACTGAGCTCTTACTATATCCGAACGAAGAATAGTAACTGCTAGGAGTTATTTATAGACTACTATTACATATATTCTTATCGAATAACTAATGTATGACTAGACCACGTGTATATTTGTGTTCGTTTTATCATAAGCCTTCACTTGACCTATTGGTTACTGTTATACAAATATTCTTAACTTATTCCCAATTTATAAAAATATCAAGGCAGTTCTACTGTACGGAGCTGAAACTGGGAAAACTACAACAACCACCATCAAAAAGGTACAAGTATTTGTGAATGGTTGTCTACTCAAGATATTCAACATTCATTGGCCGGATACCATCAGCAACACCCTTCTCTGGGAGAGAACAAACCAGCTTCCAGCTGAAGAACAAATTAGGAAAAGACGATGGAAATGGAAAGGACATACATTACACAAATCATCAAGCTGCATCACGAGGCAATCCCTAACTCGGAATCCTGAAGGAAAGCGGAGAAGAGGAAAGCCAAAGAACACATTACGTCGGAAAATCAAAGCAGACATGAAAAGAATGAATAACAACCGGAAGGAGCTGGAAAGGATTGCTTGGGACAGGGTTGGATGGAGAATGCTGATGAGCGGCCTATGGTCCTTCACGAGGAGTAACAGGCGTAAGTAGGTAATTTATAAATTACAGTATTCCATACAGCCACTTTTGGTTTGATGACGTATAATTATTATTTTTAATTTTATGGTATGATGCGGTCTGGTTTGCTTGTATACAAACTATGCATGTCTGAAATATACGATAGACACATTGGAGGCTGATATTTGTGTTCTGGACAGAACGGGTTGGATTAGGCGAGAAGTTACTATACAGAGGATCAATAAGGACTCAAAGTTGACTCGAGGCTGTTAGTGCTGTTTTGATGCATCATTGGTTTAGCACAAGGGTAATGTCATAGAAGTCAGTATCCTGATTGGCGATTTTGTCACGTGATATTTGACGGGGCATGTGACATAACAGTACTATGTTGAATAATGATTGGAATTGTCATAATATACTGTCAATACAGCACTTATTATGTAACAACATCATATTTATGAAAATTAACATTTCTTACATTAGTATGCGTAAGAGTGATCATATATCGTACAATCATTTACTACGGCTAAAACATATATTTCTTACTAAATTGTGCGTTTAGCTTGCATAACTTACGTTTTGTTTGTGAAATGTTTAGTATTTACTATGTTTGGAATATTATGACGGTAAATTCTAACTTTATGTTACAGGTAACAACTGATTAAAGTGTAAAGTTTTTCATATATTTATAAATCAATTTAATCGAACGATTCAAGTATTATCACTAACTGGTTGATTTTTGACTTAGAAATCACCAAACTTATTTCAGTTATCACAAATAATATAATTCAAGTAGATATAACACTGTAAAACAAGATAATGCTTAATCATAATAAAACAAAGTTACTGAAATTCGAACGACTCTGTGGGAAATAAGTTTTTCAGGGTGTGAAATTGTATTTCGGTGTACTCTTGTCACCCTTATTGTCAAACAAATAAAAAATTTAGTTCTAATAGTCTAATGGAAAACCTACTGTCTGATGAATACAAAACTGTCAGCTTCAATAGATTAACATCTCATAAATCTTGTGACTATAGTAACGTCATTTCACATGACAATATTAAACGGCTATTTTACGAGAGATGTTTGTTAGCGTTAGATTCCATCGGAAGAAAATTTTTGAGACAAGGAACGGTCTATGGGAAACAAACTTTCTGTCATTTTATTATCTAGGATAGCCATTGTAAACAGAATGGACCTTCAATGAAATACATGTGCAGCATGAAAGAACATTGGCAGCGGCTAACAACGTCTACATGGTATTTCTCTAAACGTCATATATGTAATAAGTCAGGAAAGCTATTGGTTGCGGATGTCGACGCTTCGCTCATGTTCATCTAATGGATGGTAATGTTTAGTGTCACCGGATGGTCAATGACTCTTAGCCATGATTTGCTATATAAATATGATGAAAGTAATATCGAAACTCCGATTCAACTAAGTACTGTGTTATAAACAAAACTTACCGTTAAGCTGGAATTTCTGAAAAATATATAACTTACAAACTTTGGTCTAATGGTAAATTTTAATTGTGTTAACACTTCGCTGGAAAACTTGGTAGGATAAAGTTAATAAAATTTACCAATTTCAGCATCAGAAAAATTCACTTCCTCTTAAAAACCTGGAACTCGTATTATCACCAGCATCAATTTAAAAATGCCGTCAACACGGTTTCAAACAGGCATAACTTCTTTAAGATATCTTACTGAACAGTCCATTTAAATATAAATTATACTTAATATAATAAACTTAGTTATGTTTTAGTTAGAGTAACTTTTTACTTCCGTCATATCATCACATGACTCCACATATTGGTTATTTCCTTTTAGTTTTCTGTATTCTCATTTTTTCTTTGGTAGAACATTTATTGGAAAAACGGTCGCACTTCTTTCAAAGTTATAGAGTTCTTTTACTGATATTACATGTCACTGAATAAGTAATTTGTAAGCACTTAAACTGTCATTACTACATTTATCAGTTAAAAATTCTATCACAATCATGATGTACAATTATTTACAATATTACACTCATTACTTCTGTACTATTTTCATTGAGCTTAGTTAATTATTTTCAGGTTTCAACCACCGGGATAACGACAATATTATTATTATAACAGTTTACATGAGAAAGCAAGCACATAACTAATTATGTAAACCAAATTAAAAAGAGTAAACAAATTCAAAATTCAAACATCCGTAGCATTCCCGTCGATAGTTGTTCAGCTCCGAAATTCAACTTACCTCTGTAATCGAAACAAAAAACGTGATAGCCAAGAGATGACAATAGTTTATAAATGTTCACCCTCCAAGGAATAGCTCTTGATTTAGAATTGCCATGGAAATAAATAAATACAGGCAAATCATTAGGCAATGAATTCATTATTTCTTCATAACTCCGTGAATCGGCAGCACTAATTTCTTCATTATTCGATGGAAGAATATGCCTAGTGACATTAAGAAACCCAAAAAATGCATCATACAAAATAAATAGGATCAGGTGATATGAGTTATATTAAGATGGAAAATTATTTCGTTATGTTTATCAAATTTTTATAGTACTAACAAGTAATCAATGGTGAACAAAACTAAACTAGCATTTGGACTTGAGCTTTTTTACTATCATATAATGAAATATTGATTATAAAATAACACAGAGCAATTGGAAGAAAAAGGATTATAATAATCAAAATAATTACTCAAAAATCAACCAGTTGCTACGTTGCATAATATATAAAAAGAAATTTGATGAGAGGTCAGTGTTATAATAGTTGTGCAAGAATCGCGGGACGAATGTTGAGAATAAGTAAAATACAAAAGTAGAAAAAATTCAAAAACATCTTAAATATTTTTAAAAGAGATTTTCATCAAAGTTCTGATACAAACTCACTCCTATACCGATGGCCAAGGTTGCGAGAACGGTTTACAAACTTCTTTTGGATGCAATGATTTGGTTTGTGAAAATGGATTCCAATACCTTCAGCAATGTGTAAAAAACGAGTTCGTAAACCATTTGGTAAATTTGATGGAACATGATGGATAACCTTAAAAGTTTTGTTCAATTCTACTTGATGACCTGTGTCCACCAGTTGATCGAAAATATAACTTTCTTGGTTGAGAAAAGAACAGGTAAGAGTGACTAAGAATTTGTACAACCACTCTCATTACCTTGGCCATCAGTTTGTACCAGAACTTTGATGAAACTCTCTCTTTTAAAAACATTTAAACTATTTTTGAATTTTTTCTACTTTTGTATTTTCCTTCTTCTCAACATTCGTCCCGTGATTCTCACACAACTATTATAATAATGACCCCTCATCAAATTTCCTTTTATATATTATGCAACGTAGCAACTGGTTGATTTTTGAGTAATTATTTTGATTATTATAATCCTTTTTCTTCCAATTGCTCTGTGTTATTTTATAATCAATATTCCATTATATGATTATTATGCAACGTAACTACTATGTATTATTGCATTGTTGTAATTTTTCCCATCACATAATTTCCTGTTTTTTCATATCATGTTGAACACACCCCAATACAGTTTGATTTAATAATATATCAGTAGTCACGATATCGTTAACTAATTAGCACTAGAATCAGCTCATTAGTATTTTTGTCTTAATATGCGATCAGTTATTTTCTTTATCCCGATTGATCTGGCGATTGTAGGATTTATAACAAACATCGTGACAATAGATATAATTAAAAATAATCTTAAAATAATTTTTTCTACTTTACGATATGAAGAATTTATACCCAAACCTCAGAGATTAAATGACTATAGATGTAACCACTCAACTTTGACGAAGTATGCAATATTTTTAGAGTTATATCCTACATTTCAGCAAAACCTTATCATCACATATGGACATTGTCAAGGCACGAACTTGAAGCCTAAGTATTTTCAAAGTGATCAAGTGGATGATTTAGTCATTTTTAGCAGGAGGTAAACCGTTTGATTAATTTATAAATATACTTAATTACTAATTACAAAGCCTGTTTGGGTTTCATTTAACTAAAATAATTTTAGCAGGACAGTGATCACATCATAATTCCGTGGAACAGGAAGACTAAAATAATAATGTATACGGTAAACTATGGCATCAAAGGACGTTTTATGTTGTTGTGTTCAGTACCATATAATTGAACTACAAAGTTATCAGTAAACTAGCTTTAAACATTAAGTATACTAACAAATTACGTGAGTGTTCATGGGTTAATGAAAATAATCGATGAGGAAACCATAACCTTAATAACAACAACAGTTAACATAACCTTCTGTCAAGCATATACTCAAATACATTTTTAGCTAAATGTAATTTTCAGTTACTAACCAACCGTAGAATATTCCTACTTCATATAAGTCGTTTAACGATGACCGACTCAATTTCATCAACTCACTCTACGTCTAGTCCTTTACACATCACAATAAAGTTTACACAGTTCTAACATTATGATCATTGTCTAGCTTAATTGGTGATAAAGATAAGTGATAGTTGTAGAAAAAAATTAACTAAACGGTTTAAGATTAAATCTTCAACGGTCGTAGAGGTTCAGTCCTCATAGACAGTAGATTATAGACATAGACTTTGTAAGCAGACATAAAAGGTTTTCGTAGTTTTGAAATCACGAACTGATCTTAGCCGTAACTAGTAAAGTCCAACCATATCGGGTGTAAGGCAATTACTCGTCTCATTCAATGAAAGGTGATCAAGTAATACCGTGAACTGAATGAAGTAAGATATTAATACGGATCAGTGGTCTAGAGACCAGGCGGTCGTTCAGCACCGAATATTTTGGATTCGATTCCCGGATGAGGGCTCATAGATGCGAACTGCTAAGGTGTCCCATACTAGTGCAACATTTGCACAATATAGAAACGCTGAATGACAGTATTTTCGCGTGTTAAAACAATAAGGTGCAAAAATGAGGAACTTTCAATCACATAGTTTTAAAAAATGTATCCTTTTAACTAAGTATATAGTTACACCACAAGAACTGTGCCAATTCGAATTGTATCATTCAAGTAGAATGTGACTTACCATACTCCTAACAGAGCTTTGTCATCTAGAGAAGCGATGTAGAAATTGTGGCCATGCCCACTAGGGATGTCCACAGATTCAAAGTGTGTATAAACTCGGGAACCAAAGCTAGGTCCACCTGCATCAAAAACAAGTTCAGAATCACTTCAGGTTTACTAAAACGGTACAAACAAACACGAAAGATATCACAAGGCCGTATATTACCCATTCTGAAATCATTCAAAGCGAATGTACGAAGTTAACACCTACTATGGACATCCTGGGCTTAGACAACCAGTCTGAAAATTAAAAACAGTACTACACAGTGCAGTTACTTATTTTCATGCAATCTCATCAACATAGTCAAAATAATTATTGAAAATCTCCAAATTATGGACTATGAAGTTAATTTCAGAAAGTACTAAAGGGTGGACTAAATTATTTCATAAATGTATGGTTGAATATTGTTTAAGCTTCGGAGACTGAAACCAAATTAGTTGAAGGTCTCGTAAAGTACTAGCGTCAAACCTCTTTCAAGTCATGCAGTTCATACATTAATACTCGGTTACGTATAAAGAAAATCAACCTAAAACATCCTTAATATGAAGTATTTCACAAAATTAATTACATTTATACTTTTGTATTCTTCTCTACCTCAAGATACAAAACACTGGGACGATTATTTTAGTAGGTATATCAGGAAAATCAATACATCTATTCATTAGAGAAACAGATAGTTCTGACGATACGAATGTGTTTAGATGTTCAGAAATAAGCTCACAACTTGGTAGCTTCATGTTCCTTTTTTGGTTGTTATATTAGGTATGTATAAGTATATAAAAGTTCATTCGATAATTAAATGCATCCTATTTAGTTGTTAACCTTCGCCAAGAAATGTTTAATCATTTCCCACTGAACACCGTCTAAGTCACGAAAAAACACCAGCAAATCAATAACTAGTAGAAACGATGAAATAGTACCACAATCATTTCTCAACCGACTAAATTTGCTAAGAAACCTAACCTGTCTAAATTATAGAAATTCGACAAACGCCTCATGATATTGAGTATAAAAAACTCCGATACAACTTAATTTGACCTCATATAGAATACTAAGACCAACTTCAGGAGGCAGGTCTAGACATCTGCAAAACCTGAAATGGTACGGGACATTTTAATTATTTGGCTAATTCAACCATCTTAACACATGTTAGTCCGTTAACATATTTACCACTGCCAAGTAAACTAGAAGTAAAAACCGAATTTCTTTAGAAAATTCAATGATACAAACTAGATTTTATGACTAGCATAGCATCATGTAAAATACGGAATAACCTCATAAATGTTTAGCTAAATAGGTGGATAAACGCCGTGCACATTGCATAAAAGAGATTAACAATTTCTACCTCATTGACTAATAATACTCCTTAAATTACTGAAACCTACACAGAAAATGGTTCAATGCTGCTTGATATGTGCTTGTTACGGCTTCGATGATTAATTAATTTCTGATGACTGAAACTTGCAGAAAGTCTCCCCACAGGACGATAATTTCCAATATAATATCAAATAATTTTACCTAGAATCACGATAAGATAACCATTCCCGGGCATTTAGCACTCACCAGAGTGAGAAAACCTACATAGCAGTCCAGGGATAAGGAATGTAAACTTTTATAGAAATCGTCTTATGAAGTCCCGTTTTCTCTGCAAGTCAAGCTAAGATAGTGTTCCATGAGCAATGACACTCATCAACTACAAAAATATCAAGCAACACAAATACTGAAGCAAATAAAAGCAAAATATCGACAAACAATATTTAGTTTCAAACTTTATGCTATCAGCACCTGTCTTCGCAAATTTACTTGACCCTACATGCGCTAATCCAATCCTACAAAATATCGACTTGGACAAATTCCCAAGTCAATAAAAGCCAATACATGTGGTGCTACCCGACCCTAAGACCCTACAAAGTCGCTCCTTTGTGAAACTTAAACTTTAATTTCCATTGATTCATTGGTACTTTTTTAAGAACAATTAGTTCCCTGTAGCTAAAATAGGTTCAACCGACCTAGCCAAGAGTCGAATATTCTATTTACGACTCAAACAAGATTATATACCATGATATATAAGAATCTATCGGCCAGAAACCCTCATTAATAGTCATTTTCTTGATGAACAAATGAAATTTGTGCCGATGCTTATTTATAACAACATGTTGTAGGTACAGAAATGACTTACTGTGTGTTTTAAAAACTAGTCGCCGGCAAAAAGCAGGAAACTTCTCTACAATCAGCGGCAATGCTATGTACAAGATCAGAGCCAAATGCACTAAGAATGCTGACATCCATAACAGAATCATTACAGGCGCCTGACAAATAGTTACTTTCGCGATCTCGTCACCCCTTATTTAATTAGCATAGTTAAACAAAAACCACCAAACCTTGCCATGAGTAGTTCATCGATATCACCTAGTTACAGCGGATTACTTTCTCACTTCTGCTATGAACCACTGAAATGACTGTGACTGGGAAACGTCAACCATCTTGCTTATTGATATCTAGCTGGCGACTCTTCGAAACTGCAAACGAAGGACTCTTCAACGTCTTTAATCGCAAACCTAATTACTGTACCATCTATAGGAACGGAGCTGATGATAACATGAGCACTGTCTGCCATAATGTTCCTTACTTAATTATGTTGACTTTCCCACTTCAAAACCGAACAACCCCTGATAATTAACGACCACAACGCACTATATAAAACGGTGAAAGTTACAAAATACTCATTTCCGACTTCTTTTTGGATCAAGTTTGTAATTCCCGATTAGATGAGTTCTATATGTTCGGAATACTAATGGTGGACATCTGCAATCGTACATCCTCCCCGCACCTTCTGTGCGGTTTCAGTTTCAGGATTTTTACCATATATAATCAGTTAGGCATAACTATATGGGATACTGAAGGTACCCCTTGCAAATGAGTTTAAACAGTCTTTTTTATGACATCCGAAAGAATGATTGTCGAACTGTTTAAGGATGTGTAGTGACTCACGTTTATTACGAGAACACGACTGGTTCAATAAAAACAATTATTATTATAAACAGTTGTACCAGTGTTTGTTTTAATGTGCTTTTGTTTAACTGTGCTAATTATAGCCATTTTGTGCTTCCATTACCTTCCATTATTGTTTCGCGGTTTTTGCTGCTGTTCGCACGTATTCTGTACTCCTGCTTCCGCTTGTACCGTTCTTGGCACGATCTCGGTATTCATTCGATACCACGAGATCGCCAAACGAATAAATCTGGTAACGCTCAACCTACGCCTTCTGATATTCTGGGCACGTGTATTTTGGTAGCGGTGTACATAGTCAATCTCGACTCGACACCACGCTACAATTGGTGATCCCAAAGTTTGGAACACGCCTCAACCTCTGGTGAAATCTTCCAAAGAAGCCAATTCGGTGAGTCTATAGTTTATCTATCCACGTCTGTCGTATATTTTCATATTAATTTCTAATATATAATATACACGACATGACGGATAGCGACAAAAGTACTATTAATGTTATAGACTCAGACGTACAGGCCATTCACTTTCGACCTGTACCATTCATTCCCCACGACCCAGAGGTTTGGTTTGCTGCATTAGAGTCCCAGTTTGAGACTCGTCGCATTACGAGCCAAAGGCAAAAGTACGCCTTTGCTCTCGAATCTTTACCCGGGGACCACTTAGTAGCTGTTCGTGAGGTCGTCCTCAATTACAACGTGCCCAATGTTTACGATCGCCTCAAAGAGGCAATTCTCCGACATTTCCTCCCATCAAGAGAGGAACGATTGAAGACATTATTAGCACGTCACCCCTTGAGTGATGCTAAAGCTAGCCACCACCTCACGCGCCTGCAATCCCTTGCAGGATCAACAGCATCCGACTCGGAAATAGTTAAAGAATTGTGGCTCCAGTCACTACCAGCTCATATCCAACCTACCGCGACGGCACTGCTCGAGGACACACCGCTTAACCAGGTGGCCCTCATAGCAGACAAAATTTTGGCGAGGACTTGTATTAAAGACAGCTACGTTGTTGCTTCAACGGCACGTCCTAAAGTAGATATGGACGCCAGTCATTCCTCAGCTCATGGCGACAGGGACGGGTGTATCCACACGCGTCTTAGTTTTCAAGACCGTTGTAACATACCCCAACCCTACGTCCCCCGAGCCCGCTCAAGTTCCCGCAAACCCGTCACCACTCGCCCAAAAAAAGCATCTTCCAAGCCACGCCGAAAGACGGTTTCGGAAGCGAGTGACAGTTGGTGCTGGTTTCATAGGTCCTTCGGGTCTGGCGCCCGCCGTTGTCGAGCACCATGCTCACACAAGGCGGGAAAGGCCAGCGCCGGCGAGTAAAAGCGGCCGTACTCGCCGGCCCTTCACCCCAGGTTGGTTGCCTATTCTATGTGCACGGTTACTGCACAAACGCTAGGTTCCTGGTAGACACTGAGGCCCAAGTTTCTGTCGTACCACGAGGTAGCAGCAAGTCACAAGCCACAGTGCTTCGACTACGCGCTGCGAATGGCTCAGTCATTCCTACCTACGGTACACGACAACTCGTGGTCAACCTGGGCAACCGACGACGGTATCTGTGGACTTTCATCATTGCTGATGTTCCCACAGCCATACTAGGTATCGATTTCCTACAGCACTATGAATAGCTTGTCGATTCACGTAGGCTGCAACTGATCGATACTTCGTCGAACAATAAATTCATGGGCTGTAAAGCCCACATGAACGCGTACCGAATCCTCGGCACTTTTTATTCGCGTGACGATAAATTCCACGCTTTATCCGAGAAATTCCCCGTACTCACTAAACCACTCGAGGAGCTTCCATCGGTGACCAATCGTGTGGTACACCACATAGTCACCCGCGGACCGCCAGTCACGGCACGACCTCGCCGACTGGCACCGGACAAATTAGCTTTTGCTAAGCGTGAGTTTGACAATTTACTAGCTACTGGTATTATTCGTCCGTCTCACAGTCCATGGGCCTCTCTTCTTCACATGGTGCGCAAAAAAGATGGGGTTAGTTGGAGACCATGCGGCGACTACTGAGCTCTAAACGTAGTTACGCGCTTTGATAGCTACCCCATCCCCCACATACACGACATCACGGCATCGCTCAAGGGCACGACTATCTTTTCTAAGATCGATCTGGTACGAGCATATCATCAGATCCCAGTCGCTCTTGAAGATATCGAAAAAACTGCTATCACGACTCCTTTCGGTTTGTTTGAGTTCCTACGAATGCCATTTGGATTACGGAATTCTGCTCAAACTTTTCAAAGGTTTATCGATAGCATTGTACGAGACCTCGATTTTGTTCATGTTTATATTGATGACCTGATAATCGCATCATCAAACGTAGATGAACATTATCAACATCTTACGCTATTATTCTAACGCGTTTCGGATAATGGAATAGTAGTTAACCCAGACAAATGCGAGTTAGGTAAACGAGAAATAATATTTCTGGGTCATGTTATCAACCAAGAGGGTATTCTACCTTGTGAGGACAAAGTGCAAGCAATAAAGGAGTACAACGAGCCGTCCTCACTCAAGGAACTGAAGACTTTTCTCGGTTTGGTTAACTTCTACCGTCGTTTTATCCCACACGCGGCAGAACGGTTACGACCACTAACCGACTTACTTCGCGGCAACCCACGCAGATTAGAAATGAACGATTCTGCGCGTACTGCATTCACAGAGATCAAAATGGCTCTTGCGCAAGCCACTCTTCTCGCCCATCCCGATCCATCAGCCACGCTTAGTATAGCGGTTGATGCATCCGATTTCGCTATAGGAGCAGTTATGCAACAAAATATCTCCGGTAGTTGGCAACCTCTCGAGTTTTTCTCACGACGCCTTACTTCCACGGAGACGAGATATAGCGCTTTTGGTCGCGAGCTGCTAGCAGCCTACTGCGCCATCAAACACTTTCGGCACGCAGTAGAAGGACGACAATTCATCTTATTCACCGACCATAAGCCCTTAACGTATGCTTTGCATACCAAGTCTGACCGCTACTCACCACGAGAGTGCAGATATTTGGACTATATCTCCCAGTTCACGACAGACCTTCGCCACATCAAAGGCGAGTCGAACTGTGTTGCCGATGCTCTATCACGAATCCAAACGAATGCAGTTACTCTGCCGGTGCTCGATCTCCCTGCTATGGCCGCTGCCCAAGCAAACGATCACAGTTGTACCAAAGCACCACACTCTACGTCCCTCCAGTATCAGGAAGTACCTTTAGCCACGACTTCTGGTACCATTCTATGTGATACTTCTACCGGCCTTCCTCGACCCATCGTACCCTCTACTTATCGCCGTCTCGTATTCGATGCCCTGCATGGATTATCTCACCCAGGTATCGCAGCCACATTACGTCTCATCGCTGCACGATACGTCTGGCCGTCCATGAATAAAGATGTTCGTATGTGGGCGAAGCAATGCTTACAATGTCAACGATCAAAAGTGCACAGGCACGTAGCCGCCCCCTTGGCACTTTCGCTACGCCTGATGCTCGCTTCGATCACGTTCACTTAGACATTGTAGGACCACTGCCACCATCGCATGGATATGATCACATACTCACGTGCATCGACCGCTTCACCAGATGGCCCGAAGCTATACCCATCACGTCTATCACGGCGGAGACAGTTGCTCACCGCTTCGTAGAACGATGGATAGCTCTATAAGGTTGTCCCTCGACTGTCACGACCGACCAAGGACAACAATTTGAGTCCGCAATATTCTCCTCACTTACTCGGCTGCTTGGTACGGAACGCATACGCACTACCGCCTACCATCCAGCTTCAAATGGTTTAGTTGAAAGGTTTCATCGTCAACTTAAAAGCGCTCTTCGAGCACACGAAAACGACGACTGGTACGAAACCTTACCGCTCGTTCTCTTAGGTATCAGAACGAGTTTAAAGGCAGATATACAATGTTCCGCCGCTGAACTAGTATACGGCACGACATTGCGTCTGCCCGGGGAATTCTTCACACCACGGAGCAGACATGATTTCGCTAAATCAGACTACGTTCAAGGACTGTCTGCATTTATGCGAACGCTATCTCCGGTGTCAACTCGAATACAACATCGACAGGTCGCTCTCCCTCGAGAGTTATCTACCTGTTCACATGTTTTCATACGAGTAGATTCGGTACGCAAACCTTTGCAACAACCTTACGAAGGCTTTTTTTGCGTGATCACTCATCACGAAAAGACCTTCAAGGTTGATCGACACGGCCGCGTCGAAATCGTCAGCATTGATCGTCTCAAACCAGCACACGTCGATGACAGTGCCCTATCTGATAACCTGAGATTCAATGCTAGACCTATCAAACCTACTAGC